AAAGAAAGAAAGAAAGAAAGAAAGAAAGAAAGAAAGAAAGACTACAAAATTGCAGGGATTGAATCAAATTCTTCTTCTTATCATTTTCTATCTAGTAATCTTAGAAAATAAACCAATGTTGTTGACAAAATTAAGAAGAAAGAAGTGAATTACATAACTGAAGCGTTAGCTTAAATATGTCAAATCAAAGTAATTTGAGAAAAGGAGCAGAGATCCTCTTTACCAACCATAATAATCTAAAATATGTGGCGTTTCAAATCCTCCAAATTAGCTCGATCAGTCAACCCAGATCACAATCTCCGCCCCTCTTTACGCATGCGCAAAGTAGTGTGGGGAGCTGTCCAGTCACTCGGTGCTGGAGCGTTCTCGGAGAAGCAGCTTCCCCTCTCCGGTCCACCGACACAGACGGGAGCGATGGAGGAAGAGTTGAAATGCCCCGTTTGCGGGTCTCTCTTCAAGGACCCCATCCTGCTTCCGTGTTCCCACAACGTCTGCCTGGGATGCGCTCGGAACATCACCGTCCAGACCCCGGAGGGGGAGACCCCGGTGCAGAGCCGAGCCTCGGGCAGCTCTGACTACGACTACCTGGACATGGACAAGATGAGTCTGTACAGCGAGACGGACAGCGGATACGGCTCCTACACGCCGTGCCAGCTCAAGTCTCCAAACGGGGTGCGGGTGTTTCCGCCTGCGATCCCCCACCGACAGTGCACACTCACCTGTCCGCTGTGCCACCGGAGCGTCTCTCTGGACGAGCGGGGGCTCCGGGGTTTCCCTCGGAACCGGCTGCTGGAGGCCATCGTGGCGCGGTACCAACAGACCCGCGGCGCCTCCTCCTCATCTTCCAACGCCGTGAAGTGCCAGCTGTGCGACCGCAACCCAGTGGACGCGGCGGTGATGTGCGAGCAGTGCGACGTCTACTACTGCAACGCCTGCCAGCAGCGATGCCACCCGTCCCGCGGTCCCCTCGCCAAGCACCGACTGGTGCCGCCGCCAAACAAGGCGGCAGGAGCGGGGGCTAGCGGAGGCGGCGGTGGTCAGCAGCCGCCCGCCACCGCGCGGAAACCGGCGACGTGCGTGGATCACGAAGCGGAAAACTTCAGTATGTACTGCAGCAGCTGCAAGGCTCCCGTGTGCATGAAGTGTCTGGAGGAGGGAAAACACGCCAAGCACGACGTCAAACCGCTGGCCGTGATGTGGAAGCAACACAAAGTGAGTGGACACGCACTCAAAACATCCACAGAGTCAAGGCCGTAAGGTTCTGTTAGTGCGCTCATACTAATAATTAGACTATTGAATCCCAAAGAGCTGATTCATTACTCTCTCTCTCTCTCTCTCTCTCTCTCTCTCTCTCTCTC